AGTATACTTTATTATTTTTTTATTTTATTTAATATAATATTTGATATATTTTTTAATATATAGTTTGATATAATATTTTATTACTATTATAAGTAAAATTATTTTTTTAGTATAGTTTAAATATATAGTTATATTTTAAGTATATTTTTTTTAGAACTATAATAAAAAAAATAAAAAGTATATTTTAGAAAGAATATGTATTTATAAAGATCAAAATATATAAAGCTTTTATAAGCTAAAATTAGAATATATTATGAATTTAGAAAGAAATTATATAATGCATGTACTTAAAAAGATGTAATTATATATTTATTATAATAAATATATAGATATACTTAAGTTTTTAATCAAAACAAGTTATAATGAAAATATAAAATATTATTTTTACTTATTAAACTTCAAATTTTTAATTTTACCAGAAGAGATTTGTTATTACTATAATTTTCTTTGTAGAAGAATTTTAGTTATAAAGTAGCTTATTTAGTTATATATTCTATAATTTTATAAATTTGATTAATAATTCTTAAAGCAATTTATAGCTAAATAATCTGTGATTAATTATATAATTCTTTTCTTTATTTTTTCAAATTATTCTTTATATAAAATAAAATATCTTTATTATTTATAAAAATTATAATTACTAATACAAAATCTTTAGAATTTAGTAAAAAATATATAATTAATAAACTATAATTTATATCTTCTTTTAATCTGTTAAGCTTATTTATCTTTAAAATTCAATATTATTTATTATATTATTAATTATTAAATTATGATTACTTATTCTTCAAAGATATAAATTAAATAATTAAAAAAATCCTCAAGCTTTATGAAATAAAAAATATATATAATACATAAGAATATAGAGATTAGATAATGAAGATATATCTCACTATTTCAAACTTGATTATTAAACTTCAATAATCTCTCATAGTAATTTTCTAGATGAGTAAATTCTACTCTTTTATAAAATTAAAATAAATTAAATAGATATATTACTATTTTTTCAAGATGTTAAAGCTTGATTATTCTTTGATTCTAACTATATCTAATTAAATATTATTTCAATTCTGATTATTTGATTTCTCATAATATGCACAAATTTTTATACTTTGATTGGGATATTATAAATTTTCAAAAATATAGAAATTCTCATAAGTCTCAAAAATAAGAAATCTTATATTTTGAACTGATAGATATCATTCATTTTTTGATCATATAGTATAAAATATATCTTATTTACAAATTTACAGAAGAATAAAAATTATATAATTTGTATTTTTAGTACTATAACATTCTAAAAAATCTTGAATAAGACTTGATAAAGAGATAAAAGTATTCTTATAAATATGAAAAATTATACAATTTATAATATCTATCAAAAGTATTTTCTTCTCTGTAATTTCTAAACAATCACATATATAATACTATAATTTTTCATGTATATAGTATAATCTAAATATTGATTATATCTGCATTTTAAGAGATTATACATTAATAAAAAATGAAAGCTCCATTATATCTGAAAAAAGATCTAAAAAAATATCTTTAAATTTAAGTTAATAATATAAAATTATCTTCTTGTATATTTATCCAAAAGATCTTAAGCTATTAATATATAAGATAACTAAAATAGTTTGCTATAATAAAAAAATAATCTGTTATTAAGTTCAAAGATGGGAAGAAAATTAAGACTTGAGTGACAAATCAAAGATAGATTAACAAAGAGTGATCATTCAATAATAAGACAAATAGATAGTAAAGCTTGCAAAAAAAATTAATATAATGATTCCAGAAATTTAAAAGAAGATAATTAAGCAGAATATTAATATTAATATATATATTATACAATATTATCTTCATAAAGAAAAAGACAAATACATATGCAAGCTTTCAAAATCTCTTTTCACAGAGAAATATTAGCAAAAATAACTGGAATAGATGAAAAAATATAGGAACTTTAACTGAAAAAAGGTGATTTTTTTGAATAAAAGTATCTTTTGTCTAAATCAAGACATAAAATAAACTTGACAGTTTCCTAGAAGAAGAAAGATAAGCCATTTTGTAAAGTATTCTCTAAAGATTTATATATAGAGATGTTTTTTATTCATGAACTTTGGCAAACTGATTTGCTTTATGAGGAATCTTAATGCTAATTTTTTGCTAAACATATATGAAATAGATCTTCTGCCATTTGTTGATGAACTTTTTGATCCGGAAAATGATCAGTAGATTCTTCAAGAAGATAATAAGCTCAAGCATTATTAAAAAATTATGAAGGTGTGAAAGAAGAAAATAGATATAAAGGTTCTTCCATGGTTATTGATATCTCCTGATCAAAATCTAATTGAAAATATCTGGGGGCTCATAAAAAAGTATCTGGCAAAAAAAAGTTAGAACTGTTAAGGATTTGAAGGAGAAATTACAAAAAGAATGGTATCATTTACCTAAAGAATATGTGACCTGATTAGTCTCAAGTGTAAGAAAGCATGTAGAAGCTTTAATTGAGGCTGAGAGTAATTATATCATGTACTAATCTTGTTGTATAAAATCAGAGCTTTTAAATAAAAAAAAAGATTTTTCATTCATCTTATCTCCTTGTTGATCTAGGATAGGGGGGAATACTTTTGACGGGCACTGTACATTCAGATTTTTAATTCAAAATTAATGTCAATTCTAACTGACACAGGTATTTTTATCTTTTACTTTTATATTAAACAAATATTTTAGCAAGCTAGGTTAACTAAAGAATTGTAGATGCAACAAGAATCGAGACTAAACTAAATGATTTATGCAAAGTGAAGGTTCACTGAGTTTCTAAAGGCCTCCCGTCCAATCTTCCACGAAGTTTGTGCAATCAAGAGCAAAGGTGAGGTTCAAATAACAATTTTGAATTTAAAGAAACAAAATTCATTAATACAATTAAAAGAATAATTAACAACAAATATAACTTTTCGAAACAATAATAACAAAATAATAAAAATCAATACCAATATCAAAATAATAAAAAGTAATATCGAAACAATAAAATCAATATCAAAAGTGATGCAAACAACTTTATATAACCAAAGTAAATCCTTAATAAAAGCCGAGGCATATTAAGAATTAAAAATAATTATTTTTCAAACCACACATTACTTTTCTCTTTTACCTTCGAGAGATATCCATACTGTTTTTGTTATTATGCAAGTGTCTAAATTACAATTCGTTGATTACAGATTTCGCGGGTAATTAAACACAAATAGAAATGTTAGTAAGAATTTACACAAAGAAAAGAATATCTATATTATGAAATAAAATGTAATAGAATTTAATGTAATAATGATATATAAAAATAAATAAATAAATGATCAAGAAATGTAAAAATATGCACTTTCCTTTTCACTTATTCCTATAAACTTTTTTCTCCAAAGTCGGAGATATCCAACGTTTTCTCCACTACTCCACTAGGCTTCCTCCGCAGCGTGATAATGGGTTGTCACATTAGTTTGATTTAAAAGTGAAACAAAGCAAGACAACAGCATGACATGCATTTTATTTATACTACATGTATAATCACAGCGATCTAGCAATAAGATTACATGTACATGCACTGTTACCATTATTCCTTTAAAATCCGTATTCCGGATTTCATGAAGGGAATCGTCCGACTGCCAAATATTTCACAACATCGCATAAGTTCCGGCTCCCTATTTTTCAGCATCCTCCAGCATCACGTTCGTAACTGCGCCCGTGCCCTCTTCAGCACACGAGATCGCGTTGCGCCCCTATTTTTTTGCATTTTCTAGCACACGTTGTCGATACTATAGATCATGACGGTTTCCCCCCCCCCCTTTATTTTTCCGCATTTTCCAGCACACGTTGTCGATAATATATATATATCGCGACGATTTCCCCCATTTTCCTGGCATTTTTCAGCACAATCATTCACGTATAGACTACGCCACTCTTTCTTTAGCCATCCTTTACTGCTGCTCGACCTATTAATGTAATAAAGAAGTTATATAGAATTAGAATAGTATCACTTTTAATATAGCGAAAGATAACAAAAATGTATAAAACGAATGGCTCTCGGGCCTTTTAAAAAAAAGAACAGAAATAAAATTGCGTACAAAACCTTTTCTCCAAGAAAAATACTGTAAAAATCTTGCAGAATCGTAATTCTAACGTGTTAGTTAGGCTCTTTCCACCAGAAAAGACGACGATTTGGGTTAGGTCCTTTAGTCCAGAAAAGGCGAAACGCATCATTGATTGAATGATTTGATTGATCTGAGTTTAAGGCTTTTAGCTAGAAAAAGCACAGGAATAAAAAGAATAGATAAGTTAATAATTAATACACGAAATCTCCTTTACCCTGCCTCATAATTACCTTTGGAACGCCCATATTGAACGATATCCGTAGATATCGGCACAGGACTTAGACCAACTGATAAAATTAGTCTAATCGCCCTCTCCGACCCACCGTCACAGTTCAAAAATTTCCCCAAATCCACGAAACTCCAACCCACCTGTGACAGTACACTCATCGTGGGAAATAAATAATCACAACGATAAAAAATTAGTCATATCAATTATTTAATAAATAAACCTTACTGTATAATTTAATTGGACGATGATCTTATTACCAAATAAAGCGAATCAATTTAACCAAAACAAAACTGTCTGACACGAGATTGCCCAATCCCATAGTTACACAAACTTTTTCTGGAAAACTGGTGTTAGTAAGTTTAATAAATTTTGTTTGTTTTTTGTTTATTGTCATACACAAGAAAACGCGATTTCCACGTAATAGCTTTCAAATATAAAAGGAGTCGAAAGATAAACTTTTTCCCCAATTTTTTTTTCTTCAAAAAATGAATAACAATAACAAAAATAAAAATAATGAAAACGATACTACTAACAATAATACCAACACCAACAACAACACCATCGTCGCAGTTCAACCATTGCAACAACAAAATCAACAGCAACAGTCAAATTATGAACAATTGCGGGAGGGTATGGAAGAACGATTTGCTCGAATCGAGCACGAAATGCGGCGACGGCTTCGGTCACTGTTAACGGTTTCTTGGCATTGTTCACGTTGGTTGAATACATCATCCTTGTTGATGGTGAGAGTGGCTTCGGTCAACGCGAGCGACGACGGCATGTATAGTAAGTTTAATAAATTTGTTTTTACTCACAAGAACTCGATTTTCGCGCAATAGTTTTCAAACATAAAAGGAGTTGAAAGATTAACTTTTTTCCTCAATTTTTTCTTCAAAATCTTCGTAATAATAATGAAAACGATACTAGTAACAATAATATCAACACCAACAATAATACAATCGTCGTATATCAACCATCGACCTCAAAGTTCACCGTCTCCACGTAATCCCCGAGCCCCAAGAGGGCCCCCAACCTCAACCATGCAACTCCAAGTCCAAAATAATTTCATGCTTCAACAGCAACGGGAAACCTTTAGAATAATTATAATTCCCTTTATCTTTATAAATAATTTAGTCTTAGTTCTCAAAACTTATTATAGACTATATTCCTGGTAAAACTACCTTCATGAATATAGTTTGTAATATTACCTCAACTGTGCAACTCCAAGTGCAAAATAATTTATGCTTCAACGGCAACAAAATCAGCAGCAACATGAAACCTTTAGAATAATTATAATTCCCTTTATCTTTATAAATAATTTAATCTTAGTTCTCAAAACTTCTTATAGACTATATTCCTGGTAAATCCTACCTTCACGAATATAGTTTATCAGAGACTTCTTTTAATTTGTTTATTTTCATTTATTAAAGCAAATTATGAAATACTTCATGAAAATGTGGAAGAATTGTGGGAAGGGGTAGAAAGAAGATTTGCTCGTATTGAGCGAGAAGTCGAAACTATGCGGCGACGGCGACGACAGCAACAACAAATAAATAGTCAGATTAACGCACGGCTGGCCAACATAGAGCAGTCACCACGAATTTTCGTGGCGGCTGTTGTGACTGACTCTTTTTTTAACAAACTTTATAATCATTGGGAATTGTTAAGAATGTTTGAAGACTTTTTGGTTTGATTTCCTCTATAGTTGGCTGGCTGTTGCGAAATTTCATGTAATAATATAAACTCTTTTTTTAACAAACTTTATAATCATTGGGAATTGTTAAGAAACTTTATAATAAAAGTAAAGTTAAAAATCATTGGGAATTGTTAAGAATGTTTGAAGACTTTTTGGTTTGATTTTTCGTTATTACATATAGTTTCCGGATTAGGTCCAGGTAGTACAAACCGATACCTGCAGGTCATTTCGGAAGGATCACGGATTTAAATCGCAATTAGGGAAACTTTCATGCTATAGGTAATATTAAACAAACTACAATATTTGAGAGACGCAATCTACATTGTTTACGCTGAGAATTCATTTAGCACGAGATACCTTCAAGATAGCCTTGATAGCAATACATAAAATAAACTTATTCACTACTCATAATAATATTTATCTTGTATAACACAACACATTGCTTCAAAAATCAGTAAAAATATTACGAATCAATAAATGTACACTACCCCATGACAAAAGTCATCCCGCTATCAGCAAATAAAAAATAATAAAATTTTAATATAATTACTATACATACTATGCATGTATAAATAAAATATTAACGCCGGTTTGTGCCATTAGTGAAGTGATAATGTTAATGTTGTGATTCGTTCAAATGATGCTATATACAAAAATTCCATTTCTATAAATCCATTATTTGGATTTTATTTATTAAAGAAAGGTTAATTACAGAAAAGAAGATTTTATAAAATAGCAAGGGTATTGTGGCGGATCGGGTAATCTCGTGTCAGCTGGCAGTCCCCATTTCAGCAGACAGTTTTGCGACATCACGCAATCATGTTTCCTTTGGTTAAATTGATTCATTTGTCGAACAACTTTATTTGGTAATAAGAAACATATTTTACACTACTTCTCATCATCCGATTCAAATTATATAGTAAACATATAAAAAATGGTTGGTGATACTTTTCTTTTTTGCTAAATTACCCAAAATCGTAATTTTTCTTAGAGTAGGTCATGTCTATTATTAGGTTTGTTTATTGTTAACTATACGTATTGGTTTCAATATATTATTCTGTACATGTATATTATCGTTTACACCAATGTTTGGTAACGGGAAACGATATCTAATACCTATGCTGATATCTTCGAATATCGTTATTAATAGGTTTTAGAGATTAGCTGTAGGGTAATTTTGGATATAAAGGATAATGCAGGTAATTATGACTTGTGATTCTTTGTTAAAATGTTATTTAATTATCTTCTCGGGTGGGTTTCTAAGCAAACTATTAATGTAAACGTTGCTTATAAGAATTATGGAAGAATTTTGACAGTATTTTTGATAGTACATCTTAAAGTAATTTTTGGTAATTTGAACTTTTTAACTATATTATTTGCACTTGAATATTTAGTATTAATCAGATAATTTTCAAGTGCTTTAAGTGCTATATAAAGATGGTAACTTAATTATTTATTTAAATTTTAATAGTTGCAGTTTTTGTTAGTACAGTCATCTCTCATTATTATCAACATCACGGAACTGGACCATTTGGTTGATATATGTAAGGGTTGATAACTATGAGGGTTAGAGTTAGGGTTAGGGTTAGGATTTGGAAAATCACATCTAATCATTAGTCTGTATTATTAGCATCATATGGAATATGATATTTATTGTGATCCATTTATTATTATCATTATAAGACTTTTTCAAAGTCTTGAAAGCTTATACATATATAATTTCTTATGTTTGACCCAACTACCTCTTTATTTTGCTTGATAAAAGCTTCTCTTCCAAGCTTTTTTTTATTCCATTCCCTCCTTTTCTTGCTAGAAAACTTATGGCTGTTCTTTAATAAAAAAATCTGTCACTTTTCTTTGTTATTTCATTTGGGATATATTTATTTAAATACGTCATAATAAACTTCACAATCTTGGTAAGTCTTGTTTCTCTACGAATTTTTCCAGATCTTGTTATTCCACATATAATAACAGTAATTTATATTGCTTCAAGATAACAGAATGAGAAATTTTCTCAATTTTAATCTCATTATCTTTGTCACTATCAAGATTAGATGGTTGGAGAATCTCTTTGATAATGACTTCTTCATCTATAATAATCTCTTCTGTTTTAATAGTATCATCAAGATGAATATAGTCGTGAGCTGTCATTACTTGTATAATATTGATAGGAATGCTTGAAATAAGTTGTCGGATGTCAACTTCTGGTCTTGAATTCTCTTTGATATGTTATATATCTGGATTTGGCCAATTCCACTTGACTAACAGTGCTATTTCAGTTTTATATCAGTAATTAATAATTATCTAAGAGGTTATATTTCTCCATACTTCTGCACTAAAATTGATTATTTTCTTAACATTCAGATGAAATGTTTCATTTCCAATATCTATGACTTCTAAAATATTTTGAAGATATAACTTTTGGTAATGAGCTTTAAATGAATTAATTATTCTAACATCATATGATTGTAAATAAGATGTAATATTAGGTGGTAGAAAATGGATTTTAATATGCTCCAATTCTTCACTAACTATATGAGAAGCAGTATTATTGACCAAAACCAAGATTTTCTTATGATTAAGTTAGTTGGTAGCATTCAGAAACTTTATCCAACATTCAAAAATCTCACTAGTTATCTATGCTTTTTTGTTAGCTTCATATTTGATATCAAGATTTTCTTTCTAAATATTCTTGAAGCATCAGAGCTTTGCTGACTTTCCAATAATTAGTGATTTAAGTTTGTCCATACCAGTTATATTTGTACAAAGCAGAATAGTTATTCACTTTTTGTCTTTCTTTTTTTCTTTGACTGACTTTGTTGCAAGTGTCTGGTTAGATATCATCTGAAAAAAGAGGCCAGTTTTATTAGCATTGTAGACATCCTCTGATCTGTATTGTGAGAGTAATTCAACTAATTGCTGCCTTTACTTAGGAAGATTCTTGATAGAAATACTCTCAGACTCTTCATGAATCCTGAATTGCTAAATATCATGACATTTTTTAAAATTGTCAAGCCAACCATTACTTGCTTTAAAATCATCCTCAGAAACATTCAATAATATGATAAATTTTTTTACCTATAATTATAATAGTCTATTTGTCAGAATCGTATTTTGTAAAAAAATCTATTACATCCAGATACTCAAAGCAGTTTCTAATTGTGTGAACTTTACTAGTCTATTAACTATTTTTTTTGATTTGAGTTTTATCAGTTATATGGATAACCATTCATTTTTTAACTTTAAAATCTTTGAAACTGTGCTCTTGTCATAACTGTATTCCTCGGAAAGTTAGTCAATAGTGAGAGTTGGATTGGCTTGTTTTTGTTGATATATTTCTTATTTGGATTTTATAGTTAAGTACATTCACTTCTTTCATGACTATTCTGATTTGTTTATATTGTCAGTATTTTTATAACTATAATTATTACTATCATTATTGCCATTATTATGTTCATGTCATTATTATTGCTGTAGCTATTATTTATCATGAATTTATAATGTTAGAAGTTATTTGATACATAGGGAGAAGTGTGGAAGTAGTGAAATTTGATAATGAGAAGTATGAATTTATAATGAAGTATATGATATGTGAATTTTATAATACGAAAGAGGCATATAATAGGACATGTGAACATGTTGTACAACTGGACATGTGAATAATATAATTTGTTCACAGTTGTCAGAAAGTTCTCATTTTTTGAATAATATCCTTTAATATTTTTCAAATATTTTCTATTAGTTTTAGGTCTGGAGAATTCATTAGTCAATTATAATTATGATTTTATTTTCTCTTGTTTTTCTTGCAGTATGTATTGGTACATTATCATGTTAAAAGATTGCATAACTTTCAGTTAATTCCCTAATTGTATTCTGGAATAGAAGTAATTGAGTTTTTAAGATTTCAAGTTAGATATTTGCAGTTATTTTTTTGCTATTTTTTATATTCATCACAAAAATTAATAATCTCTTCACGAAATATCTCTAAACTATTACAGATTTTTATTCACTTTTAAAAGTAGGTGCCAAATAATTAATATTAAATCTTTCTTCAGAATGCCATCAAACTCTTGACTGTCATGACTGCTTTTCAATTTTCACACTGGTTTATCAGAGAAAATTATTTTCAACCAATGATAAGCTGACTTATTTTTTTACTTCACACTATTTAATATGAGTATATGCAAGTATTTCTAAGATATAAGGTTTCTTTGCTGTGATATGTAAGTAAAGTCTGAAGTTGTGCAATACATTTGTGATAGTTGATAAACTATAAGTAAGATCTAAATTGTTGACTATTTCACATAGTGATGCATATTATTTTTTACTAGCTTCATATATAAGTAAATTCTTTTCATAATTATTAAGACTGGTAATCTTCCTGAATATAGTAAGTTTTTACTTTTCTGGTTCATTATATTTTTTAGAAAGTGGTGTATCATTATAGGATCATATTCAAGTATTTTTGCAATTTGAGTAGCATTTGCAATATCCATGTATGCCAAAATCTTTCCCTTTTTAATTTCATTAAGCTGTATATAGGTGGATATTATTTTTTAATTTAATAAAATTATAGTATTGATGAAGTGGCAAAAAAGAGAGAAAACTTGATAAATATATTTTTAAAAAATGATTGCACACATAAATTGGATGATACTTTCTGTGAGTACTATATATTTATCTTTCAAAAAAATATGCCTGAAAATAAGCATGATCCTAATTTAAAGCTCAAAATATGTCTCAAAAATTCATGCTTATTTTGAAGACAAATATAATACTCAGAAAGCGTAGGATTTTATAGTTCAAAAAATTGATTTATTAGCAGTAAACATATAATGTTGATATCAACAGGAGGCATATGATTAAGAGCAGAAATATGATTTATATTGATAGTAATATTAACAAGATATAATATAAAAGTTGATATTAGCAAGGGAATTTTTATAAGTGAAAATCCATTCTATAATCAATATTGCTAATAGAGAGATATTAATATT